GCCTGCGTCGTTTCCTCCGTCTCTGTTTTAGTCCCTTCGCGCGGGCGCGCACCTTGACGTCGCGGTCGGACACGTCGCTTGCGGTTTGCACAGCCCTCCCGAAGTCGTCGATGACCATGGCGGGCTGTCCGCTCGGAGCCTTCTGCAGTGGCATGCGAGCGGCCCCCGCGGGCCAATTGATCTGGGCGTCGCCGCCGCCGGGCATGGCGAGCTCGCGTTGGCCCGCGTCCAGGATCGGGCGCGCGGGCCCCATGCTTCGAGGGCAGGTTGCTGCCGGATCTCCTGACAACTGATGCTGTAAAGCTGTTAAGCTGTAGATACTGGCTGAGCCCTATGCGTCCGCGACGGCAATGGGCGCGCTCGCCCGACGGGTGCACTCTTGGGCGCCGTCGCCCACGCCTTGGGTGCTCAAAAGCGCGCTCGCCCGGAGCTGCCGCGGCCGGCGCCCTGCCTCCAGGGCTCGGCGGCGCAGCTGGCGCGCAAGCCGCTCGCCCGCGAGGTTGGTCCAGGCACCTGAGTCCACGATGGCTCTGAGCTCACCTGAAGGGGGCTGCGCGCGACTGCGACGCGCTCGAGTGGCGCGCTCGTTTGCCGGGCCAGTGGCTGGCCACCGCGGTAGCGCATCGGCTTCGCCACCTTATGGTGGGCCTCGAGGTGGTGGCTGCCCCCAGGTGGATGCAAGAGCGGTGGGGGTGATCTCGCCGATCGGCGCGTTTCGCGGTGCGATCGCGACGCCGTTGGCGCCTGGGGGGCGTCCTCATCGGGCGCTTCGCGGCGCCCGGTGTCGATCTGGATTGGGTGGGCATTGGGAATGGTGCTCGGGCCTGGCCGCCACGGGGTGCTTCTTCCGCTGCTCGCGTGGGCGTTATTGTCCGGGCGTCGGCGCGGCTCCGATGCAATCGGCGGCCGCGCTGAAGAATGTCGGCGCGATCCAACATGCCGTAGCGGTCCAACCGGATGCCGCGCATCTCATCGGTGTCGGCATCGACTCCAGTGAGTTGTGACGCTGCGCGCATGCGTCTGCAATGGCGGCGGCGCGATGGTCGGGGGTCCAGCCGCGACCGTATCGATCATATGTTGGGCGCACTCACGGCGGTGAGCGCGCCGTTGTTCTATCTGGGCATCGCGATCGGCCTCCAATCTGGCCGTGGAGGACAGCTGGATGGACATCTCAGGGGGCAGGTCGCGTACGACGTCTGTCGTGGTGGCCGCGGTCGGCACTTCAGCTGGGTGCTCATTTCTGCGGCGTTCTGCTGTGTCTGTCCGGCAGGGCAGCTTGTGCTAGCTGACCCTGTCACAAGCGTGCTAGTTGGCCGAAACCATTAATGCGGGGAATGGCGTTGCGCTGATCATGGGGAACAGCGAGTTGGCTCGCCAGGACGTCAGCAACTGCGCTGTGCCATTGGTCGATGCGATTCATCTCGCGGGGGGCCCGAAGAGCTGCAGTCCTCCGTGGTGCGTTGCTGGGGTGAGGGGCTCCGTCGGTTGCTGCTGCCGGCTCCGCGGCGTCGGAGCGGCGGCGACGCTGGGAGTTGGAGCGGCGATGCTGTGAGTGGGGGGCGGCCCTGAAGTTGTGCTGCCACATGGGGCGTCTGCAGTGGCGGTCGGGCAACTGGCGCGTCGTTGCCCGCGTGGCTCCTGGCCGCGGCGAGCGAGGCTGCTGACCGCGAGCCGTGGACTGATCCAGGCATCTCCCAAAGGCCGTCGGCGGATGGCTGCGCTGGCGCAGCGCTGGGCTCCATGAAGAGTGCGTACTTCTGGTGGCCCCTGCCTTTTGCCTGTGCCTTTTTTGAAGAAGGTGCTGCTGCTCGTCTTGATGAGCCTACGTGCGTCGCGAGTGGGGCGTTGCACGCGTTTGCGTCGGTGTCGTTTAGCAGTGCTCATTCGCCGGGACAGCTGGGCGTCCATCTGGGCAGGGCTGAGACCTTGGAGCTCGGGTGCTTGGTAGTTGACCTCTCCGCCTGGGTCCGAGCTCGCGTCAATGGAGGCCCCGCTGACGCAACCGGCCCCGCGCGCGGGCGCGCGCGCGGCGGCGGGGCGCGTTGCCCGCGGCGGCGCGGCGCTCTGCGACGGGCTGGTAGCGCGCGACAGGGCGACTCCAGTTCCGGGAAGGTCGGCGGCGATGGCGGCCCAGGGGTAGAAACCTTGAGTGTGCCAGGGGCCACGTGCGTCGCGGCTGTTGTCATTGGTCATGCCCGCGAAGCCCCCCGAGCGATAGCGGCGCGCGAAGGGCGCTGGCGATGTTGTCTGGCGCGTGCTCTGCGATGTGGCCCGCGCGCGTGAGCACGGTCGCGGGGCCTTTGAAGTCGGCCCCTGTAGCTGGGCGTCGGTTGCCGCGTGGCTGGGGCAGCGGCGTGAGTTGGCTAGCTGTAGCGCCGACCGATTGGGGGGGCAGCCAGCTGTGGCCTTCCTGCGACGTCGCAGCTCCACCGCCGCGCGTAGCTCGGCACCGTGGCGTAAGAAACCGCGAGAGCAGCGCGTCAGTGGTTTCGCTGCGTCGCCCCGAGATCTTAAACAGTTAGCGAGTTGCTTGGGGGCGCGACTCCTCGCCTAGTGCGCCGACCTGTGTGCCGAGGTTCGCGATGAGGTAGGTCACGGCGTCCTCTTTCTGTCCGTTGACCATGCCCCCCTCCGTCATTTCCGCGAAGCTGCTGGGGCGCGCGAGCTCGCGAGCGGCCCCGCAGAGGTTGATGGTGGCGGCGGCGCATTGCTGAGCGCTGTCCATGTCGGGGGCCAGCGCGTTCCAACCGAGCAAACATGTCCTGCGCCCGATGGCGGAAGGGATGCGCGGACTTGCGCTCGGGTGACCATGGGGGCGGCTCGCGGGATGTGATGGCGCCGCGGCCGCCGCCGCCCTGTGGGCTCGCTCCACCAGGCGTCGCGCAGGTGAGCCAAAACAGGACGGCCAAGAAGAACGCGAGGATGCTGCCCCGAACGTCAAGATGGATCTCCTCCTCGATAAGACCTCACTATGGCGATGGCTGCGCAGGCGCCTTGGGGCTCGGGCCTGTGCAGGGCCGAAAGCCATATCGAAGTGCGGGGCAGCGGTGACGATGCCTCTGTCAACCTTGGTCGAAGCCGGATTCGGTGAAACTTGTACACAGACCTGCAGTGTTCCACTCGGGTGGTGCGATGTGCTCACCAGGACAGCCAGAACAATCGCGCGCGTGCCGAGGGACGGCGCTAGCCCAGGATGGAGCCTCGCAGTCATGCCCGACGCGAAGATGCGGCCAGTGTTTGTGGGGTTGCGATGGGTCGAGGAACGTCGTGGCGCTCTTGTCCTCATCGCGGTTACGCCTACTGCTGCTGCCCTCGCAGTCGGGCAGGATCTCCGAGGCGAGCTGCTGGTTGGCTTGCAGAACAACCATGAGCGCAATATGCTCAAGGAGTGGAGGGTAATACCGATGCGGACGTGAAGGTAAATGCGAGTGTGCGCGTAAACCACACTTATCGCACGTTCCGTGGATCGCGGGCTGGGATCGCTCCCAGCTCCGCTACCAACTTGCCTTGCGGTGGGGCTAGAAGCTGCGCGGGAGAGAGCATGGCGGCAATAACATGTAGCGCCGCTCCCCAAGGGTCTCTTTGGCGGGCCCTCGGGTGCCCTCGGGGCTGGCCTGGCCTGGGGCCCTCTCGAGGCTTCACGGGGCTCTTGGGGGAACTCAGGAAGGCCCAGCGCCAGCTTGGGGCGTCCTGGGGCTCTCTTCTTGGAGCCTCTCATGAGGCTGTTGGATGGCTCTCCTGGCCTCGAGGACTTCTAAGACCCCCTGGGTCTAGCGTCTGGAATGAAGCGCCTGGGGGTTCTGGGGGCTCCCGTGGACCATGTTTGAAGTCTTGGGGGAGGGGGGGGGGCTTTCCTGGGCCGCCTTGCAGCGTCAGAGCCCATCTGGAGGCCTTGTCAAACGTCGGGGATCTGCTGACCTGGGTCAGTCCAGACCTGGGTCACCCGGAAACGAAAAACTACAATGCAGGAGCAACAACTGCAGCGCAGGGCTTCGCAAACCCAGGTCAGCCAATATGCGCGGCCACCTCGCGGCTCGCTAACCCAGGTCAGCCAATATGCGCGGCCACCTCGCGGCCAAGAGTGGCCCGCTAACCCGGGTCAGCCAGAGGGGGTCTTCGCAGGATCCTGCACGATCTGGTGCCCTGGCTGACCCCCGTTTGCATGGACCCCCGTTTCCGGAACCCCGAAAACGTGTCCCCCGATGCCCCCCCCGGTAGTGCTCCATGGTGCGAGTAGGCCCCAAAGGCGAGGGGAGGGGAGCAGACTTGGCCGTCGGGGGGCATCTCTTCGGGCATGCGAGTCCTCCTCCTCCTCCTCCTCCTCCTCCTCCTTCTCCTCCTCCCTCTCCTCCTCCTCCCTCCTCCTCCTCCTCCTCCTCCTCCTCCTCCTCCTCCTCCTCCTCCTCCTCCTCCTCCTCCTCCTCCTCCTCCTCCTTCCTCCTCCTCCTCCTCCTCCTCCTCCCCCCCGCCTCCTCCTCCTCCTCCTCCCTCCCTCCTCCTCCTCCACCTCCTCCTCCTCCTCCTCCTCCTCCTCCTCCTCCTCCTCTCCTCCTCCTCCTCCTCCTCCTCCTCCTCCTCCTCCTCCTCCTCCTCCTCCTCCTCCTCCTCCTCCTCCTCCTCCTCCTCCTCCCGCCTCCTCCTCCTCCTCCTCCTCCTCCTCCTCCTCCTCCTCCTCCTCCTCCTCCTCCTCCTCCTCCTCCTCCTCCCTCCTCCTCCTCCTCCGCTCTCCTCCTCCTCCTCCTCCTCCTCCTCCTCCTCCTCCTCCTCCTCCTCCTTCCCCTCGTCACCCCCCTGTATCCCCCTCGGGCGGCTCGAGAGCCAGACGGATCTCACGGAAGCGTCTGGGGGCTACGCAGGGGCTCCCCCGCAGCTCTTGGGCCTTCGGGGGCGCTCGGAAGGCCGCGCTGGGCCGTCGGGGGGGGTTCCTGGCGCTCTGCCCGTGCCTTTCTGTGACCTGCACGGTCTCAAGCGAGCTTGCTCATGATAGCGCCGATCCCGGCACTGTAGTAAGAGATGGCATCGGGCTCCAGCTTCGCCTCCCGCATCTCACTCAGCAGCGACAGAGCCCGCGGCCACTCGTCGACTTTCTCGCACGCGCTCATCCCAGCGTTGTAACTGATGACGTCAGGCTCCAGCTTTACCTTCCACATGTCGCTGAGCAGCGACAGCGCCCGCTGCCACTCTTCGACTTTCTCGCACGCGCTGATCGCCGCATTATAACCGGTGACGTCGGGCTCCAAGTTCACCTGCCGCATCTCGCTGAGCAGCGACAGCGCGCGCTGCCACTGTTCGCCTTTCTCGCACGCGCTGGTCCCAGCGTTGTAACTGACTTGCGTGAACCCGTTGGCTAATTTCATGGCGCGCTGAACTGGGACTCGCACACATTAGGTGAACCGCTCGTCGAAGTTGAACAGCTCTAGCGTCCCTGGGGCCATGTCGGGGGCATGTTGGGTCCTCTTGCGAGCCAGTCAGGGGCGCCCTGAAGGCCTCTTGCGGTTTTTGGGCGCCTCTGGGGCAGTTCCCAGGCTGTCCCCGAGAGCCTTTTCTGAGGGACAGCCTGGGAAATTATTGTGCGTGCGTGCTGTGAGGTTGCTGTCAGAAGGTCCCCCCTGTCACCCCTGAGGTTAGCTGCAGGGTTTGATGCAGGCTCCGTGAGCCGGGGCTGGAGGCTGTCTTCGAATATCTTGGGGGGTCTGCGCCATCTCGGAGTGGTCCAGGGAGGGATCTCGTAGTCTTGGGGCTGTCTTGGGGGTCACCGATGGCTCTGCTCGGCCGTAGGGGGGGAACGAGGTGCTGGTCCCCGCAGTGTCTGCAGGTCCCTCCACCTGTCACCCCTAACTGGCCATAGAGGGGGAGCGACCGAAGTGGCTGCAGGTCCCCCCTGTCACCCTTAACAGGCGGAGTGGAGGCCCCAGAGCGGCCGTAGCCTCGATGAGGGAAGGAGGACGTTCTCAGAGGGGATGGTCCCCCCTGTCACCCCTAATCGGCCGTAGTGGGGGAGAGGTCTTGAGGGCAACTCTGGGCCATCTCGGAGTGTAGTCCTTGGATGGCCATTGGGAGCACCGTCGTAAGTATGGAAGCTCTTTGGAGCTTCGTGGGGACCGTCGAAGTCTCTTGGCAAGCGTCGGAGTCTTGTGGGCGACTCTGGGGCATCTCGGAGTGGCCGTGGGACCGCTCTTGGGAGCTCTGTGGGGACTTGCGGAGTCTCTTGGGAGGCTCTGGGGCCTCTCGGAGTTGTCTGGGGCCTGCCTTGGGGGGCGTTTGGAATTCGAGAGACGGCAAGAGGGCGCCGTGGCTCGAGGCGCTCTTCTTGGGAGCTCCTTGGGAAACATCGGAGTCTCTTGGGAGACTCTGGGGCATGTGGGAGTGGTCCTTGGAGGGTTCTTGGCCCATTGCGGGCTGTGGGAAGGTCGTCGTCTGGGCTCCCTTCGGCCACTCTTCGGGCCTTCGCGTGGGTCTCTCCGGAGCCTCTAGGGTGCCCTCTTGGCTCATTTCGTGGCTTCCTTGGGCCGTCTCGGGGGCCTCTTGGGCTGTCCTGGGGCCATGTAAGGGGTCTCGGGCCGTCTTGGAGCTCGCTTTGGTGCCTGTTTGGGCAGCTCCTGGGGCCCACTTGCGGCTGTCTTGGGGGCCACCGGTGGCTCTATGAGGCTGCCTTGGGCTTCACCTGGGCAATGTTCGGGCCCTCTGGGGCCGGCTTGGGGCACTTGGCGGGATCTCCTTGACCGTCTTGGGGCGATCTGGGATAGCCCTGGAACCGTCTCGGGCCGTTCTTGGCCCGAAGTGGCGAGAACATGGAAAACCTTCAAACACCCAAAAAAGAAATATGATTTTGGCGTCGGGGGACCGTCATCGGGGTCTGGTTCAGCCGTTTTCCGAGGCACCTGGCCCGTCGTCGGGGCGTCTTGGGTTGTCATGGGCTCCGTTCGGGTCCTCTTGGGCCGTCCTCGCGCGCTCCAGAGCGTCTCAGAGCTCTATTGGGGCTGTCTTGGGGCCACCGAGGGACTCCCTGGAGCCGTCGGAGAGCGCCAGGGCGCTTCGGGCGCTCGGGGGCAGCTTTTTCACCACAGCACTTCTCGCACGCGCAACGCCCAGAATCCCACCAGCCCTTTAGGGCGTGAGTGGTTTAGAGAGCCCCCTCTGTCCAACCCCCTTCTTCCCCCTCGGGGAGGGGGTGATGACTGTTCATTCTTACTATACACGCTCTCCCCCAAGCGACCAACGTCCAACCAGGAACCATGCCGACACCATGCCGACCCGCTCCCCCACCATATCTGTCCCTGTCCAAAGAACAATGCAAATTACATTTTGGGGCAAAGACTTAAGTCATGTTCGTAAGGCCTGCGAACACTTGGTAATGTTTTTGACAGGGACGACGGGGGTGTCAACATATTCCCTGCCGTCCGCAGGGCTACCATCCCTGACAAAAAACAATGCACATGCACCTCGCGGCTAAATCTGGATCATGCGCGGCCATCCCGCGATCACTGTCACACTGTTTTTGACAGGGACCGCGGGGGTGGTGGCGCGTGGCCTGCTGTGCGCAGGCCCACCACGCACAACGATGGGCATTGGTTTTCGACAGTCATGGCGGGGGCCGACGTGCTTCCTGATGTGTGCTGTCACGTGCGCAAGCGCACCTGGCGCAGCCTGACGCACTCTGCACGTGCCCCGAACATGGCGCACCTGGCGTGGCTGGATGGTGCGGCACACCTGGCGCACTCGGAACACGTGGCGCATCTGGCGCACCAGGCGTGCCTGGCACGCTCGGCCCCCAGGGGTGCCTGGCGCGCGTGGCGCCCCTGGCACGCGTGGCGCACCTCGCCCAAGCGTCGCGCACCTGGGGTCGGCTTTGGTTCCCAGTAGCTGTCCATTCAAAGACGGCCGCTGAACATGCTGAGGCTCGGGTGTTACTGATGTGTTGGGAGGGCGGGTGGGAGTGAGCTAGACGGCTTGCGGGCGGGTGGGTAGCTTGACCCCTCCCCCTGCCCCCCCCCCTTGGGCCTGAAGGGGGGGGGGCGCGGGTCGTTGGAGCGCAAGACGGCCTCGGCGAGGAAGCCAACATCATTGGTTTTCCTGTGGTGTTGGCCCCATTTTTCCCTCTTGAGGGGTCGGGCCTGATTGACGCCGCGTTCCTTTTTGAGCCGCGGCATCCAAGATGGCCTCAAGAGAGGCGATCTCAAGAGGGCCCCAAGAGGCTCCCCGAGACGCTCCAGAGGCCCCAGTGACCGCCAAGAGGCCCCCAAGATGCAAGAGAGGCCCAAGAGAGCCCAACGACGGCCCCAAGAGCGCCCAAGAGTGTCTCAAGAGCGCTCCAAGAGGGACCCTTCCTCTGTGCGCTGCCCGCTTTATTGATCGAGGCGAATCTTCTGGGCATCGCCTCTGGATAGACGGTACTCTTCCCTAGACTGGCTGCTTTAGGATGGGCTGGTGGGCATTCGCGAAGCGTAAAGAATGTATAATACAAATGACGTCGGGCTCCAGCTTCACCTCCCGCATCTCTCTGAGCAGTGACAGTGCCTGCTGCCACTGCTCTCCTTTCTCGCAAGAGCTGATCCCAGCGTTGTAACTGATGACGTTGGGCTCCAGTTTCGACTTCCACATCTCGCTGAACAGCGACACCGCCCGCTGCCACTGCTCGCCTTTCGCGCACGCGCTAATTCCAGCGCTGTAGCTGAACTCATTTGGCTCCAGCTTCGCCTCCCGCATCTCGCTAAGCAGCGCCAAAGCCCGCTGCCACTGCTTGGCTCTTTCGCACGCGCTGACCCCCGCGCTGTAGCTGACTAGAGTTTGTCTAGGGGCAAATCCTTAAGCGACTTGATCATCTCATAAGGCTCAGCCAACTGATCGCACATCGACCTTTCGGGGCACCTTGCGGTCTGTCTTGGGGAGTGTTTGGCTGTGTGAGGGCATGTCCTGGTGCCCCTCAAGACACCTGCGGCATCTTGCTGGGCCTCTTGTTCTGCCTGCGCAGCTTCCGGCGAACGCCGAACACGTGTTGCTGCCGCCTGCCGTTTCCCTTGCTGATGCTGCTCGGTGCTGATACTCTGCTCGCCGCTGCTGGCTGCCTGCTGCTTGCTGGCTGCTGCTGCTGCTGCTGGCTCTGCTGCTTCTGTTGGGGGGGTGGTACCTGGACGTGTCTGTGACTCCTTGGGCCCTTCAGCCCGGCCGCCCCCGCGCGCTCGCCGCAGCCCGCGCCCGGCCCACCTCCTCCGCGGCCGCTCCGTCGCCTCCCCCCCCCCCTCGTGCATGCGGGTGATGACTTCGCGACCCCGCGCCCCGGTCTCGCTCGGACGCGCGAGGGGCTTGCGCCCTCCGCGCGGCGACGAGCACGCGTGACCTCTTGGGGCATCCTGGGCCGCCTCGGGGCGTCGTGTATCCTGGGGCCTTTCGAGCCGGATGAGGCGCTTCGGACTGTCTGGGGTCCATCTGGGTGCGCGCCTCGTCGGGCCCCTCTCCGAGCTCTCTTGGGCTCTCGCGGGGCCCTCTGGGGGCTACAGTAGGAGCTCGACTACAAGAACCCCTCCACGAGACACCCTACCCTGAGACCCCAGGACGTCCATTGACTTTTGGTGTGGGAGCGTCGAAACCATAGCACAGCCATCGAAACCCAAGAAACCCAGGGCAACCTGGAGGCAAGCAGGGTGTTTCTTGGCATGATTTTTCACTGTATGTTGGAGCCCTTGGGCGGCTCGTGGGCCTCTTTGGAATTCTGGCGGCCGTCCAAGGGATCCCCCGGGCCATCTTGAGGCAATCTTGGGCCGTGTTGGCGCCGTCTTCGGGCAGCTGTGGAGGCCAGCTAAGGCCTTCTGGGGTAATGCTCGGGACGCGCTGGGCCCTCCCAGGGGGCTTCTGTGGGCCTCTCGGGCTCCGTTGGGTGGCTTCTGGGTCGCGTCTCGCGGCCCTCTCTGAAGCCGAGCACTGCGCAGAGCACAGAAAGCGTGAGAGTGCCGTGAGGTCTTCGACGTGCGTTGCGCTTCGGAGACCCTGTCTGGCGCCAGCTTGGTGCCTCGTGGTCTTTTCGCATCCACGGCCACGGACCCCTCGCCCAGGGGCGATGAAAAAGTCCAGGAACCTCGACATCACGACCCAGGGAATGTTCGGCTTGGTGCCTCTCGAGGCTACTGTGAGGGCTAAGTTTGGGCCATCCACGAGGTGCATCTTGGGCTGCATGAGGCGCAGGACGCCTGCCAGGAATGCTCCCAGCCGGGGCAGGCGGTCAAGAGCTCCCTGGGCGTTGCCACACCTCGGCCCACTCTCGTAAGCGCTGCTCCTGGCATTGTGGTATGTACGTAAGTATGTACGTATATAAGTACGTATGTATGCATGTATGTATGTATGTATGTATGTATGTATGTATGCATGCATGTATGTATGTATGTACGTATGTATGCATGTATGTATGTATGTATGTATGTATGTATGCACACATGTCTGTATGTATGTATGTATGCATGTATGTATGTATGTATGTTTGTGTGTATGTATGTATGTATGTATGCAGGCATGTATGTATATATGTATGTATGTATGTATGTATATATGTATGTATGTATGTATGTAGGTCGGTAGGTAGGTCGGCAAGTAGGTAGATGGAACTGCATGTATGTATACATGTATGTATGGATGCCAGTATGCATGGATTTGTGCACGTACGCATGCATTCATGGATGCATGCATGTGTGTATGAGTGGATGTATGCATGTATAGCTGCACGTACGTATACATACCTGCACACGTGCGCGTACATGTCTGTATGCTTACACGCATGCATGTATCTGCGTATGTATATATGATTGCACCATGTATATGTACGTACGTGCGTATGCATGCGTGCGCGTATGTATGCATGCATGTGCGCATATCTGTTTATGTGTACGAATATATGCTTGTATGAATGTGTTTATTCATACATACATGCATGCGTGCATGCATGTACGCACGTACGTATACATCTATGTATGCAGCATGCACGCATATTTGTAGGCGTGTAGGTGTGTATGTGTATGTACGTATGCATGTATCTATGTGTGCACGTATGCACGTATGCACGCATGCATGCATGCATGCATGCATGCATGCATGTATGTATGTATGTGTGTGTGTGCGCGTGCGCCTGTGCGTGTCTAGATGTATACATATATGTGTATGTGTATGCATGCAAGTATGTACATATGTATGTCTGCATGCATATATGCATGTGTGCCTGTCTGCCTGTCTGTCTGCCTGTATGTATGTATGTATGTATGCAAAGAGGTATACATACATATATACATACATATATATATATACATATAGATATATGCACGCGTGCATGCATGCATGCATGCATGTAAGTGTGCATGTATGCGCGTATATATGTCTGTGTCTGTATGTCTGTATGCCTATCTGTCTGCCTGAATGTCCCGGTCTGTCTGTCTGTCTGTCTGACTGTCTGTCTGTCTGTCTGTCTGCCTCTGTCTGCATGCATGCATGCATGCATGCATGCATGTATGTATGTATGTATGTCTGTATATAGGTATGTATGTCTGTATGTCTGCATGCATGTATGCATGCATGCATGTATGTATGTTTCCTTTTCAACCTATTTAAAGTCCCAAGGGGGAGGATCTCTCCCCCTCGAACAGAAACGGAACCCTCAGGATCCGTGGCCGCGGGGGCCCCCTGGACGCCCCTGCAGACGATCCCCTGGGCCTTCCGGGGCTCCTTGAAGCCCCTGCCGGGCCAAGGCAATGGGCCCAAGTAGGTCAGGAGGGCGGCCGAACGGTCCCACGAGGGTCCCAAGAGACCCTAGGCACCCACCAGACACATGGATTTCCAACGGTTGTTGCATGATTGTGGGAGTGCTCTGTTCTTGGGTCTTCCAAGCGTCCGAGACCGCCCGGGAAGCCCGAAAACCGCTCCACAGCTATCCAAAAGCGCTTCCAGGCAGTCTAAGAGAGCCCCGAGACGGCCCCCGCAGGGCCCCACGGTGGCCCGGAGAGAGCCCCACGACGGCCCAAGATGCCCCCAAACGCCCCCTGAAGCATTCCAAATCGCAACCCGGTCGTTCAGGGAGGCCGCGGTTGGAAGCAGGGCGGCCAGAGGAACCCCCCAGAGGAAGCCCCCAGAAGGCGCCCAGGAGGCTTCCAGAAGGCCCCAAGAACCCTTTTAACACTCTCGTGAGTCCCACTCTCGTGAGGCCTCCAAGAGGTTCTCCACGGAGGAGCCTCCGCTAAAGGAGCTCAGGAGGATGGGGGAGAATTCGCAGGGTACGGCGAAAATGCGAAGGAAGAAAAATAACAATGATGGACACATAATGCATGATCTGATTACAATGAAGATGTCGGACAAGGCAACAAGGGGATGATCGCTTTCTTTTCTGTTTTACCCTCCTGCCCTTCCGCCTGCATGTCGCACTTTAAGGACCACTGTGGATGGCGCGAAGCGCCAATGAAGCCTTGTAGGTGTATACACATGACATATGACACACACAATATATATAGAAATACACTGTACATGTATTTATAAGTTTTGAAATGACACCATATTTTTGAAATTCACGCTATAAGTGTATACACATGACACTCTATTTTTGAAATGCACTATACACATATACATGTACGTGTAGCCATCTTTTGACATACGCTATGTGTGTGTGTGTGTGTGTATTGCATGTGTTTGTATACATGCATATTTTACACATGTGGACCAGCGTGCGCCCGTGCATGACACCCAGCATGCGGACCACCGTTTCGCTCCTGCGTGCGCGTTGCTGTCTGCTACTGGCTGCGCCTTGTTGCTCTGGGCCGCTAGACTGCTGCTGCGTCATATTGCCTGCCGATGCTACCTGCAGCTTCCTGCTGCTGCGGACTCATCCTGCTGCCACTTGCACGCGCTGCTGCTTACAAGTTCTACTCGCTGCTGCTTGCTGCTGGATGCTGAAGCTGACGGTGTTTACCTGTCCTGGCTGCCGCTAGCTCTGCTGCTGGTGGCTCTGCTGCTTGCTTGCTGCGTTCGCTCGCTGACGCGTCCAACGTTGAATCTTGACGGCCCTCGCGAGCCGCACTTGGGCTGCCTTGAGGGCTTCTCGGGCTTGCTGGTGCCGGTTGCGGGGTGCCGCTGCTGGCTCTGCTGCTTGTGCTGCGATCGACGGCAAATCCTGCCTGATACCTGGCGTGGGCAACATCGGGGTTCGGGGTCCCTGGAGGACTGGCCTGGCCCTTCTTCGGGGTCTGGGGGCCGTCTGAAAGCGCCTTGGGGCCGTGCTGCAACCATCCTGGAGGAGGAGGAGGAGGAGGAGGAGGAGGAGGAGGAGGAGGAGGAGGAGGAGGAGGAGGAGGAGGAGGAGGTCGAGGGAGGACCAGAGGACGTCCCCACAGGACAAAGGGACAAAAGGACGTTCCCACAGGAATGGCGGCTCTCGCGGTGCCGCCAGGCCGCCGCTGCTCTCGCGGCCGCGGCGCTCCTGCGGGCGGCCGCGCCGGCCTCGCGGCGGTGCTGGCCGCCCTCTCGGAGGCCTCTGGGGCCCACCAGGGGGGGGGGGGGGGGGCGCGGGGCGCATGCGGAGGCACGGCGCGAGGGTCCCCCTCGGAGGCCCACGGGGCCGTGAGCGGGGGGGCCGTCTTGGGAGCCTCCTCGCGGAGGCCTCTGGGGCCCACCTGGGAGCCATCCGGCGCCAAGAGGGCGGGGGGCGCCAGGCGCCCGCGGAGGCACCGCACGAGGGGCCCCCTCGGAGGCTCCGCGGGGCCGTGCGCGGGGCCGCCGTGGAGCCCCCCCGCCGTGGCCGCCCTGGGGCGCCGCCTCGGGGCGCCCTGGGCCGCGCGGGCCGTCTGCGGCGCCGCCCGCAGGCCTCGGAGGCTCTCCGGGGCTCCAGCGAGTGCCGCGCTGGTGGGGACTGCCTGCCAGACCACCCCAGCCCAACGCGAAGACCCGAACTTCGGGTTTCTGGGGGGGAGGAGGAGGAGGAGGAGGAGGAGGAGGAGGAGGAGGAGGAGGAGGAGGAGGAGGAGGAGGAGGAGGAGGAGGAGGAGGAGGAGGAGGAGGAGGAGGAGGAGGAGGAGGAGAGGAGGAGGAGGAGGAGGAGGAGGAGGGAAGAGGAGGAGAGGAGGAGGAGGAGGAAGAGGAGGAGGAGGAGGAGGAGAGAGGAGGAGGAGGAGGGCATAGAGGTTTGACGTTCCGTTCCCCGAGCCACCACACTGAACATGGAGGGCGACTCGAGGCCTCCAGGTCGGGTTGGGGTGGTTTGGTGGGTGGTGAGGTTGGGACGTGTCGGGGGCGCGCTGGTGCGCGTCAGGGCCCGCGAGGGCGATCCTGCCCCACTCGGGTCTGACGCCCTTCTCGCCCAGCACTGCGCCCGGCATCGTAACAGAGGTGACGTCGGGCTCGAGCTCCGCCTCCCACATCTGGCTGAGCAGCGCCAGAGCCCGCTGCCACTGCTTGCCCTTTTCGCACGCGCTTATCCCGACGCTGTAGCTGACTGGTGCGGACCCGCGGAGGAGCGTCCGCGCACGCTGTGGCTCGCACGCGTCAGGGCTGCCTGCCTGCCTGCCCGTGCTGCCCTCCTTGGCCGTCGTCCTTCTAGTGCACTGTCCTGTCTTACTGGCCTGCTGGCCCGACATTTTCATGCTTGCATTAAGTCGGGCGTGTCCCCCTAGAGGGGGATTTTGTGCGACACATAAAAAGTACGCAAACAATACCCCCCAAATGCTCAAAACTAGTCAAACATCGTCTCCAGACTTTTTTTTCTATGTTTGACCATTCCCCCTGTAGAGGGACACGCCCGACTTAATGCTTGCATGCTGGCCCGCCTGTCTGACGTATTGCTTGCCTGGTGCAATGCTTGCTCGACTGCTCGCCGCTGCTTGGCGGTGCCGGCTTCTCTGCTTCCTCCTGCTGCTTCTGCTCGCTGCCTGCTGGCTCGTGCTGCTGCCCACGGCGGATTGCTGCTGCTGCTGCTGCTGCTGCTGCTTGCTGCTGCCGTGCTTTGATGCAGGCTGCTGCTGCCGTCAGATCTGCTTGTTCACGCTGCCTGCTGACTGCGGCTCTTGCTTGCCGCGGCTGCCTGCGGCTGGCCATCCTGTTGCGGCGGCCGTCTTGGCAGCGCCTCGTGAGGCCTCTGAAATCCTATGTCGTCTGTCCTGAGGGCCAGTCGTCGGCAGGAGCTGTAAGAAACCAGCGATGCCGAGCGCCAGGCCCAGTGCGCAAGGGGTGGGTGGCCCCGAGGAGGCCCGTATCCTGCACTTACGGCCAGCAACTCAGGCACGCGCTGCCCCGTCATTGTGGAGGCTATGACGTTGGGCTCCAGCTTCGCCTCCCACGTCTCGCTGAGCAGTGTCAAAGCCCACTGCCACTGCTCGCCCTTCTCGCACGCGCTGGTCACAGCACTGTAGATGACTAGGGCTGACCCGTGGACTCCGTCCACGACGTCTTTCTGGAATGGTTCTCGGAGGAACGGAGGAGATTTTGCCAAAAGTCAATAACCACGGCGGCGGCCGGGGCGGAGGCAGCGAAACTGAAGTCTCACGGGGATGTGCGTCAAAGCTGAAGCCTATCTGACGCGTCTCAGGAGCGCCTCAGGAGCGCCTGGGGAAGGGCTCGGGAGGCCCTCGGGGAAAGCTGCCGGTAGCGCGGGGGAGTCTTGCAAGGATCTCCAGGGAGGTCCCAAGAGAGCTTCGAGAGGGTGCGAAATGCAATCGCGCCTGTGCTGAGAACAACGCGTGCTCAGCGGAGACGATCTCTCCCTATTTGATCCTGGGTCTGGGGGCCCAGGTGCCACCAGGTCAAATTATTCATTGATTCCTTCACAGTGGTTACACTACTTAGGGCTTTTTCTTCGTTCGGGCCCGAAGGACTTGGGTGGGTCGGCCGAGGTTTCGTCGCATACGCGAGCGCCCCCATGGCACAACTTATGGCGTCAATATTATGGCACGGCCTATGGTGGCACAACCAATGGCTTAACGGAAACCGCTGTTGGGTCGGACGTGCTGCGCCACGCCGAGAGTCGAGAGAAGGGCGAGGTATACCGCCGCACGACGCGGAGGCGGCGACGTCCGCCAGCGCCTGCCTGGTCGGCGCAGCCCATGGCGCAGCGCAGGTGGTATTTACCAGCCTCGAACTTATCCCCACCCCTAAGGTTGACACGCCAAAAGGCGATGACAGTCTCAGGGACGCGCCCGCAAAACAGAAGGGAGTCCCCAAGATGGGCCTCGTGGTGAGGAGATGCCCAGCATAGGGGTAGGGATATGTGCCAGGCTGGTAAGGTATGTCGCATTCGAAGGAACCGCGCGGGGACCCCCGGCGTTGGCTGCGTTCCAGCCCGCGCCCGTGCCACCCTGGGGGATGAGACACCCGCGGGCGGGGCCGCCTTGAGAGCATCTGGCACCGTCTGCTTCGACCGGTCCGGCCCGTCCTCGCCCCGGGGGTGAAGGTATTCATCTAAAAATTTGGACGCCCGAAAGGGATACGGAAAAAATGGGTACAGTGCCCAACAACAAAAGATGTCCCAAACCAGCAGCGGCCGCTGTTGGGCAGGCGGCCTTCTGTCTCGAATGGACACCGGCCGCGGCGGCGTGGACAGCGGATCCTGGTCAAAATGAGCAGGAACTGCTGTTGGGCACTGTACCCATTCTTTCCGTACCCGTTTCGGGCGTCCAGAAAAAAGGAATGCCTCCATCCCCGGGGGGGGATCCCGCAGCTGGGGCCGTCTTGGGAGCATCAGACCCCGTCTTGGACTCTCTCGGGGCCGTCTGGGGCCATCCTGGGGCCGCCTGCGATCGCCTCCGGCCGCGGTTGGGCAGTCTTGGACCGTCGGGCGCCTGGACCGGGCCGCGGGCGCCCCCCACCCGGGGGTGGATGTACTCGTTTTACAAGAATACCTCCACTCCCGCGGCGGGGGGGGGAGACGCGCACCTGGGGCTGTCAAGGCGTACTGCTGCTGCTGCTGCTCATCGCCGCTGGTGCTTGCTGCTGCTGGATCCTCCTCCTCCTCCTCCTCCTCCTCCTGCCTTCGATCCTTCATCCCCTCGATCGTCGATCGTCAACCGTGGATCCTACGACAGCGGCCCGAGCTGCTCCTCGAGGCCTGCGAAGGGCATCGCGCCTCTCGTCTGCCTCTCCGCTCTCGGAGGCAGTTTTGGAAGCCTCTCGGGGGCCTCTTGGGGGCCGCTTGAAGGCCTCTTGGGGCCGTCTTGGGCGCCTCTTGGGGCCGTCTTAAGCCGTTTGGGGCGGTCTTGGGCGCCTCTAGGGCTGTCTCGGTCCTGTCTTGGGCCGCTCTTCGAACCCTCTTGGGCTGTCCTCGGCGCCTCCTGGGCTGTCCTGGGGCCGCCTTGAACCGTCCTGGGCCCCTTGGAGGCTCTCTTGGGGCGACCTTGGGGGCCTGTATGGCCGTCGTGGGCTCCTCCGTCTTCCTCTTCCTCCTCCGCTCGATCCGTCATCCCCTCGATATTGGATTGTCAGTTGTCGACGCTCCCCGCAAGACAAGCATGGAAGGGCCCCAGAGCGTTGGAAAAAGCCCTTGTGGGCATGCGGTCCGGCCCTCGCCTCTCGTCCGACCCCCCTCTCGTAGAGGCAAGGTGGAAGCCACTTAGGGCCTCTTGGGGGCCGTTTGGGGGCCTCTTTCCGGCCTCTCGGGAATCCCTTGGGTCCCTCTTGGGCCGTCTTAAGTGCCTCTTGGGCCGTCTTGGGGCCGTGTGGGGCCGTCTTGGGCGCAGCTCGGACCGTCTTGGGGGTGTCTTGGGCCGTTATTGACCGCTCTTGGGGCTGTCTTGGTTGCCTCTGGGACCGTCTAGGGCGTCTCTGGAGCCGTCGCGGGGCCGCCTCGGGCCGTGCGCGGCGAAGACGAAAAGAGCGAGCACATCAAAGATGTACGTTTTCTGGAGGGAATGGGGCAATTTTTGCCTCTTGGGTCCCTCCTGGGGGTCCTCCTGGGCCGCCTTGGGAGCCTCCTGGCCTGCCTTGGAGGCCTCTGGGGCAGACCTGGGGTTCGGTTGGGTCCCTCTGTCCCGGCGCCCTCGTGGGCGTCTCTGCGCCGTCTGGGAGCGGCCCAGGGGCTCGCAGGGCGGCCTGGAGAGCCCGGCGGACATTTCAAGACAGAGGACTTTCTGGCACGCAAAGATCGCTGCATTGTAGAAGAGACTAGGGCTGACCCGTGGACTACGTCCACTTGCGGGTGAAGGCGTGCTGCTGCAAGGCGATCAGGATGAATGGCGTCATGTTCGCCTGCCACACATCGCCGAGCGAGGAGACGGAGGAGTGTCTGGACGCCCCACCTGGGGCGCTCCAGGGCTCCCTTGGGATCGGGTCGGGCTTTGTCGGTGCGTTGGGTCCGACCTTCTCGGAGCGTTCTGGGGCCGTCTGGGGGCCCTCTGCGGGGCCCCAAGATCACCAACACGCCCCCGAGATAGTTCCATAAAGGCCGCCCGCACAGAATCGGCGGGACCGATTCTGGGCCACCGCGCCGCCGACCCAGAATCCCGCTCGACGCGCCCTTGGCGGCCGCGCGCGCTTCCCGGGACGGCCGAGGCGATTCTGGGCCACCAGAAGAGCGAAACACGGCATGATGGCCCGAAGAGGCCGCGGAGAGGGCTCCAGACCGACAAAAAGGGCGAGGGATTTTGATGCGAAATCCAGAAGGGAACGCCAAACAAGCATCAGAGGCCCATGGTGCGCTGGAAGCCGTTTTGGGACCGTCTGTGGCCGTCTTAGGCTGCTGTTGGTGCTGTCTTCGGTGTTTCTTGGGCCGTGATCTTGGGCCCCCTGGGGGTCGTTTTGGAGCCTCTCAGCGCTTCTTTTCGGCCTCCTGGAAGCATCCTGGGCTTGGGGCCTCTTGGGCCGTGCGGAGGCGGTCCGGGGCCGTCTGGGGGTTGCCTGGGGCCGTCTTGGACGTCGCTGGAGCAGTCTGGGCACCGTCTGGCGGTCGTCTTGGGCCGTCCTGAGCCGCTCTTGAGGCTGTCTTGGGTACCCCGTGGGCCGCCAGGGGCGCCTCAGGAGCCGTCCTAGGGCCATCTTGGGACCCTGTATGGCCGTCTTGGACGCTACGAAGAGGGCAAGCCCGGGAACTGCCAAAATGTACGTTTCCCCGAAGGAATGGGACGACTTTTCGGTGTTCGGGCTCTCTTGGGGCTCGTCGTGGAGCCCACTTGGAGCGTTTTGGAAGCCTCTTGGGCCGCCTGCAGGCCATCTGAGGCGTTCTCGGGGCCGTCTGGGGGTTGCCTGGGTCCGCCTTGGGCGTCTCTGCAACAATCTGGGCACCGTCGGGGGGTCGTCTTGGGCTGTCCTAAGCCGCTCTTGAGGCTGTCTTGGGTGCCCCGTGGGCCGCCAGGGGCGCCTCAGGAGCAGTCCTAGGGCCATCTTGGGACCCTGTATGGCCGTCTTGGACGCTATGAAGAGGGCAAGCCCGGGAACTGCCGACACGTACGTTTCCCCGAAGGAATGGGACGACTTTTCGGTGTTCGGGCTCTCTTGGGGCTCGTCGTGGAGCCCACTTGGAGCGTTTTGGAAGCCTCTTGGGCCGCCTGCAGGTCATCTGTGGCGTTCTCGGGGCCGCTCGGGTGGTTGCCTGGGTCCGCCTTGGGCGTCTCTGCAGCAGTCTGGGCACCGTCGGGGGGTCGTCTTGGGCCGTCCTGAGCCGCTCTCGAGGCTGTCTTGGGTACCCCGTGGGCCGCCAGGGGCGCCTCAGGAGCCGTCCTAGGGCCATCTTGGGACCCTGTATGGCCGTCTTGGACGCTATGAAGAGGGCAAGCCCGGGAACTGCCAATATGTACGTTTCCCCGAAGGAATGGGACGACTTTTCGGTGTTCGGGCTCTCTTGGGGCTCGTCGTGGAGCCCACTTGGAGCGTTTTGGAAGCCTCTTGGGCCGCCTGCAGGCCATCTGAGGCGTTCTCGGGGCCGTCTGGGGGTTGCCTGGGTCCGCCTTGGGCGTCTCTGCAACAGTCTGGGCACCGTCGGGGGGTCGTCTTGGGCTGTCCTGGGTGCCCCGTGGGCCGCCAGGGGCGCCTCAGGAGCAGTCCTAGGGCCATCTTGGGACCCTGTATGGCCGTCTTGGACGCTACGAAGAGGGCAAGCCCGGGAACTGCCAAAATGTACGTTTCCCCGAAGGAATGGGACGACTTTTCGGTGTTCGGGCTCTCTTGGGGCTCGTCGTGGAGCCCACTTGGAGCGTTTTGGAAGCCTCTTGGGCCGCCTGCAGGTCATCTGTGGCGTTCTCGGGGCCGCTCGGGTGGTTGCCTGGGTCCGCCTTGGGCGTCTCTGCAGCAGTCTGGGCACCGTCGGGGGGTTTATTGGGCCGTCCTGAGCCGCTCTTGAGGCTGTCTTGGGCGCCTGGTGGGCCGCCAGGGGCGCCTCTGGGGCCGTCCTAGGGCCGTCTTGGCACCGCCAAGGGGCTCATTTTGGAGCTTCTTGGGGGAATGTCGGAGGCCTGCAGGGCATCGTGCGCTCCGTGGAGTGGAAGACAGCGGAACTGCCGAAAGTGTTTGTTTTCCTAGGGGATTGGGACGATTATTGATATTATGGGCCCTCTTCAGAATCCTCTTGGAGGCTTCATGGGCCGTCTTGGAAGCCTCTGGGGACATCTTGGGGCCACTTGGGCGCCTCTTGAGCTGCCTTGGGGCCGTCTTGGGCCGTCTTGAGCCGTTCTTGGAGCCCTCTTGGGCTCGTCTTGGGCTGTCGTGGAACCTCTTGGGCCATCCGGGGTCCGTCTGGGCCCGCCCGAGCGGGGTTTTGCCACACTGGGTCCCCCGCCATTCTGGCACGCGGCTCCCCCGGCGTTAGAGTATAGACTAGCGCGAACCCGTGGATTACATCCACGGTGTGCTGAGCCTGGGGTTCGCAGGCCATGGGTGAGCAGCTCGTCGAAGTTGAACATCTCGGGCGTCCCTGGGGCCGTGTCGGGGGCATGTTGGGCGCTCCTGCGAGCCTGTCTGGAGCGTCTTGAAGGCCTCTTGCGGTTTTTGGGCGCCAGCTTCAAACGAGCCCGAAAGGCTCTCAGTGTGGCCCGACAGGGCCTAAGGAGGGAGCCAACAGGGGTTCCGTACGGCCGTCCAGGGGGCACACGACGAATGCTACAACAGGGGTGATGGCCTGAAGGCTTCCTCATCCAGGGGTGGAGGGGGGCTCACGATCCGACGGTTCTTGCGTGGGTCTGGGGCAGGTCGGAACGATCTGTAGGGCCTGGTGTGGGGTCTGGGGCTTGTTTTGGGGCTTCTGGGCCCGGTGGTCACAACACTTATTGCAAAAGCAATTGCTGTCATCTGGTGAAGGTACTCTACAATAGCTGAGATCTGGGCCCACCACGTAAGACATGTGAACCAGTAGTACAAACTTATACGCGCAAATTTGTATTTGAAAATATTTGCTCGTCTAAGGGCGCTCTTCGTCGTAATTTGACAATGATCGTCGTGATAAAACCCAGCCGGACAAGAACGGCGGAACGCCGAGCTATCCAGCGAGCGCGTGAGAGAGCGTCTGGTTGAGCATGCGAAGCGTCGTCGTCGCCGTCGTCGTCGCCGTCGTCGTCGTCGTCGTCGTCGCCGTCGTCCGTTGTCGCCGTCGTCGTCGTCGTCGTCGTCGTCGTCGTCGTCGTCGTCGTCGTCGTCGTCCGCCGTCGTCGCCGTCGTCGTCGTCGTCGTCGTCGTCGTCCGCCGTCGTCGTCGTTGTTGTCGTCGACGTCGTCGTCGTCGACGTCGTCGTTGAAGTCGTCGTCGTCGTCGTCGTCGTCGTCGTCGTCGTCGTCGTCGTCGTCGTCGTCGTCGTCGTCGTCGTCGTCGTCGTCGTGGTCGTCGTCGTCGTCGTCGTCGTCGTCGTCGTCGTCGGCGCCGTCGTGGGGATCCATGTTCGTGGTTGTCTGGAGGCTCTGCGGGGCTGTAACGCTCGAGGGGCCTCCGCGGGGCTCCATCGGGCGCCGCTGACGCCGCCGGTGCAGCCTCGGCGAGGCCCAATCGGGGGCCGCGGGCGCGGCCAGACACACTTGACATCCTTGTTGGTTTTGTCCGGAGGCTCGGCGGGGCTGTCCTGAAAAGCTCGTGGAGTCTCTGCTGAGCCTGCTCGTGGGCCGCAGACGCCGCCGGCGTAACCTCGGCGAGGCTCCATCGGGGGCCACGGGCGCGGTCGGACACATTTGACATCCTTGTTGGTTGAGTCTGGAGGCTCGGCGGGGCTGTCCCAGGGCGCTCGTAGAGTCCCCGCTGGGCGCCAATCGGGGGCCGCTGACGCCGCCGGGCTAGCCTCGGCGAGGCTCCATCGGGGGCCGCGGGCGCGGCCGGACACATTGGACATCCGTGTTGGCTTTGTATGGGGCTCTGCGGGGCTGTCCTGGAACGCTCGTGGAGTCTCCGCTGGACCTCGGTCTGGGGCCCTCATGGGGCCCTGGGGGCTGTCATGGAGCTCCTGCGGTCGGCTGTAGGGGGGCCGAGGCCGTGCGGGAGCCCGCTTGGAACCGTCCAGGGGCCGGCTCGGAGGGCCCGCGGGGCTCTGTGGGCCTGTCTTGGGGCTCTCTCGGGGCCTCCTGCCTCGTGGGGTCTCCGCTGGACCTCGGTCTAGGGCCCTCATGGGGCCCTGGGGGGCTGTTCTGGGGCTCCTGGGGTCGGCTGAGGGGGGCCGAGGCCGTGCGGGAGCCCGCTTGGGACCGTCCTGGGGCTCTCTTGGGGCGTCTCTGGGCCGTGTCCAAGAAGCTATGGTGAAGGCGTCTCGGGCGAGACTGGAACAATTTCGGAGCTCCCAGGAGCCGTCTGGAGCTGCTCGGGGCCCTCTGGAGCGTCTCGTGACCCGAAATGGAGAGAACCTCGAAAGCCTCAAACAAAAACAGCGACCATGGACTTTTAGCTAATCGGGCCGTCATAAGAGGGTGCTCTGCGGCCGTCTTGGAGGTCTCTCTCTGGTCCTGGGGCCTTCTGCGAAGTCTCGGGGGCAGCTTTGGGCCTTGGTGCGACTCGCCGTAAGTCAGGAGAGGAAAAAGCACACAGACACAATTAATCCTCGACTCCCCAGAAAGTATAGGAAAATATGGGAAGTGGGGGAAGACAGAAACCCAGAAAGTATGGGAAAATATAGGGAATATTTTTATTTGTGTGTAATTATTTGTGTGTCCTGGGGCCCCTTCAGTAAGGCTTTCTGGCGCTCTCTGGAGCGTCCAAGAGGCCATCTTGGGCGGCCCAGGGCCGGCCCAGGGAGCGCCGGCGGCCCCGAGCCACGCTGTCCGAGCTCGCGCGCGCTGATCCCGGCGTTGTAAGACAGGTGACGTCGGGCTCCACCCTCGAAGCTCGCATCTCGCTGAGCAGCGACAGAGCCTGCTGCCACTGCCCGCCTTTCCCGCACGCGCTGATGCCAACGCTGTAGATTACGACGTCGGGCTCAAGCCTCGCCTGCCGCATCTCGCTGAGCAGCGACATTGCCTGCTGCCACTGCCCGCCCTTCTCGCACGCGCTCATCCCGGCACTGTAGCTGACTAGTGCGAACCCGTGGAAAATCCACGGCCTGCTGTGCAGAAGCCTTTGGAGGCCGCCACTTGGGAGCCAGTGTGTCTGTGTGGGAATCTCGTTGGGCTGTCTTCGGGGTCTCCAGGGGCCTCTTTGGGCCGCCTCGTGGGCCGCCTCGGGCAGCGCTGGGGCCGTCTTGCTAGCGTCGGGGGCCGTGCTGGGAGCCTCTGGGGCTGTACTGGGGTCGTGTCTTGTATGTGGGGTAAGTGCGGGCTTCGTTGGGCTGTCTTGGGATTGCTCAGGGGCCCTCTTGGACTGCCTCGTTGGGCCGCCTCGTGGGCCGCTTTGGGCAGCGCTGGGGCCGTTTTGCGCGCGTCGGGGGCCGTGCTGGGAGCCTCTGTGGCTGTACTGAGAGTCGTATCGTGTATGTGGGGTGTGTGAGGGCTTCGTTGGACTGTCTTGGGATTGCTCAGGGACCTTCTTGGACCGCCTTGGGGCGAGCTCGGGGGTATCCTGGGATGGGCGGGCGTGTTTTGGGAATGCCTGGGGACCTTGTTGGGCCGTTGTTCTTGGAGACACCCTGGGAGCCATACCGTTATCAGGCCTTGGTTTGGGCTTTCTTGGAGGCTACCGGGGATCCACACACGGGGAGAAGTGCAGGGGCTGGAGGCTCTCTTGGGAGCTCCGTGGCTTTGGGCAGCGCTGGGGCCGTCCTGCGCGCGGTGGGGATCGTGCTGAGAGCCTCTGGGGCTGTACTGGGGACCGTTTTTGGGGCCTTTTGGGCCCTCTTTTAGGGTCTCTTGGGGGCCTCTTCTGGGCCTCTTGGGGGCGTCTGGGGGGCCTCTGGGGGCCTCCGCGGCGCCTCTTGGGGCCTCCTGGGTGCCTCGTGGGGCGCAAAGGCTTGGATGTTCCGTTCGCGTGCCCTCTCTTAGCCCGCGCCACGGGTTGCCGCCTCCTCCGACGGCGGGACAGCAGCTCCCCTGTGCACCAGGGCCGCCTAGGAGACGACCCGGAGCTGCGCGGCGCGGCTGATGCCAGAGCTGCTGCCGCACATGGTGGGTCGGCTTAGGTCGGGCATGTCCCCCGACATGCGGATTCTGGACGACAAATAAAAAGCAGTCAGTCAATGCGCCCAAATGCCAAGAAATACTCAAACTATCGTCCCCTGACTATTTTTAATTACTATTTTTGATTTCCCCTCCTGTAGAAGGACACGCCCGACTCAAGGGTCGGTCTGGCCGAAGCAACGGACCGCGGGCTCGCTGGACATGCTAGGCCGAGGCCCTCAGCCCAGAGTCCTGGTTTGGAGCGCAGGGGATGCTGATCATAAATCTCCTGCCGTATTTGCTGGATCGGTCTGGCCGAGACAACGGACCGCGGGCTGCCTGGGCATGCTGGGCAGAGGCCCTGAGCCCACAGTCCCGGCTGAGATTCACGGTTGATGAATATGGTGTGGGCTGCCTGCGTAGTGCGCAGAGGCCGGCTAGTCGAATCCTCGGGGCTAAGTCCATGGCCAATCCTCCTACAGAACGTAGGGCCTTTCCAAATTGGGTGTAGCGCGCTTGTCTCGGGGTCCGCCACAGAGGGGGGACCCTGAGGGGGGGGTGAGTTTGATCCGCTGGAGCATCGAATTTCAGAAAAAGCGAAATCCCCCGCGCGCCCCGATTGTCGACGCCTCTCGGGTTCCGGCGGCGGCCGGAGACCTCGTTTTGCATAGTTTTTCTGCGGTTCGATGCGCCAACTGACCGAACTCCCCCCACCCCCTGTGGCCCCCCCCCCCTTTCCGAGGTCCCGATTGTTGCCAGAACTCCCGCTACACTTGCCGGTCCAACCGCCCGCAAGCTGGTCGGGCTTGCTACCCTAGAGGCCCATTCGCCCACAGACCTGGCTGGAGTACGGGTGCTTCTCGAGAAGCCAAACCATATCGTGTGCTGCACCCGAACAGGGTGGTGCTGGGACGTGCTTGTCCGGAGCGGGGGGGCGGACGGGCGCAGAGCGCGGCGAGCAAGACGGCGGTGGCATCACGCAGCAGACAGACGGGGCGAGGCGGAAGGCAGGGAGCCGGGCCCGCTTGGGGACTGGGCGGGGGCGCGGGAGAGAACGAGGCGGTAAGGGATGGGCAGCTGGTGGCTGCCTGGGACGGGGCAGGCAGGGGCAGGAAGGGAGAGAGAGAGTCGGGCCACCCCGGTCGGGCTGCCCTTTTGGGGCCCCACCGCGCACACCCTGCTGTTCGGTCGGGCATGTTCCCCCTACAGGGGGATTTGGGACGAAAGCTACAAAAGATGATCAAAAATGCCCCCCAAATGGCCAACACATGTTCGAACAAACGTCCCCTGACTTTTTTCTGCAACAAAAGAAAAATCCCCTGACCTGTTTTTTCTTCAAAGCAGAAACATCTATTTTTGAAGATTCCGCCTGTAGAGGGACATGCCCGACTTAACCCTGCTGTCTCGGCTGACCTGCTGCACCAATGGGGGGGGGGGTTACCCCCGCGACGGGTGTTGGGCGCGTTGGTTGCCCTGCCGCCGTCGCTCCGCTGCTTCCCGCACCTGCAGGCTATTGGGAGGTGCTCTGCGGGCGCGAAGTACACACGCCCTTCGAGGCGCCCCATGCGAAAGGCTTTTTTGAACAGAGAGAGAGAGAGAACACAAAAACAAAACAAAGAGAGAAAGAGAGAGGAGCATAAAGAAATATACACAGAGAGATAAAGGAAAAGAGAACAAGGCTTCAACCATTTGGGCTCAAGAGAGAGTCTCAAGCCGTTGCCCAGCCGGGTTCTTCCTCCTCTATCGCCCTCTTCTTGTTTCGCTCCCTTCCTCCGGGCGCGCGGGTGGCCATCGCGCGCTGGGGCGCGCGGGGGAACGCGCTGGCGGCGCTCGCGGCAGGCGCATCTGGAGGGGTTGGCTGTATGCGTTGGGCCCTGCAAGCGGTCCCGGACGGCACGGGGAGAAAGATGCTGGGAGGGATCGGGAAGAGCCGGGGAGGAGGGAGGTGCGAGTAGCCAAGGAGGAAGAGCAAGGGGCCGGAAGATAGGATCGAGCAGGGACGAGAAGAGATGAGCATTGAACGATGATAGCGGAATGAGGAGCGAGGAGCAATGGGTGAGGAGAGAGGGGCCTGGGCGAGGAGAACGAAGGCAAAAAGAAGGCTTGACAGGAGCACTGGCCACAACACGAATCGCCCAAGTGCCAGCGCGTGTGTGGCTGAAGATCTGGTCTGCTCTTGGGGCGCTCCTGGGGCTCTCTTGGGGCCAGCGTGGGGTCTTCTTGTGGCTTTAGTTGGGCCTTCTGGGGCTCCCTGGGGGCCATCCCGTGCCTCCTGGGGTCATCTGGCATTATGTCGGGCGTGTCCCCCTACAGGGGGATTTTCGACGGAAAAAAACATCAAAAATACCCCAAAAAGGTCAAAACATATTAAAACATAGTCCCCAGACTATTTCTGGATTATTTTGAACATATTATTGGGGTATTTTTTTCGTTAAAAAATCCCTGTGTAATTAGGGGGACAGGCCCGACTTAAATCTGGCATCTGGGCGTCTCCTGGGGCCTCTGGGTGCTGTTTGGGGGAAGTCCTGGGGCGCTCGAGGGCCGCCACTGGTCGGGCACGTCTTGAAAGCCGTCCTGGGGTCTCTCTCTCGTGGGACCCCTGGGTCCTCGCGGCAGTGCCTCGGAACTCTGGGGAGCGATGCAGGATCGGAAAACAAACAACGGTGTCGCGACCACATGCGAGCACCCCGTCGGGGGCCCTCGGCGAGGGCACCGCTGGGGCCACGCACGGGTCTCCGAGTGCCCCCAAGACTCGGCGGCGCTGCGAGGGGGAACTGGCCATTGCTCGGACGTCCATTTCCTTTTTTTAAAAGTTTCGTGCGTGTTTTTTTCGCGAACTGATCATGGATGCTCCTCGATGGTCCTCGCCGAAGGAAAAATGCACACGTCCGAGCGATGCCAAGGGAAGGCAGAGGGGGCGGGCCTGCGCGGGGGGCTCGGGATGCCTTCTTCTGAGAAGCTCTTTGGGCCTTCTCTGCCGCCCCGCCGCCCTGGGGCCTCTTGGGACCGTCCTGGTGTCCCCGGGGGACCTCTAGGTTCGGGTCGGGCGGATAGCAAAGGGGGGGTTTGAGAATCAGCTCACGTAGCTGATTTTCCCGGCGCCTCCCGGCGCCGGAGGCGGCCATGTATTGAAGAATGGGCCCCTCCGTGGGGCCGAAACCAGCAAATTTCGTAACCCCTCTTTCCCAATCCCTCCCTTTCGTCCGGCCCGATAGGTGCAGTTCTCAAAGGGGCCCGGGGGAGGTATGGCAGGGCCTGGGGGGCAATGGCGAGGCGGCATTGGGCTGTTTGGAGCCATCGTGGGGACGTCTTCGAGGCCAAATTGGGGCTATCTCTGGTCATCCTGGAGGCGTATTGGGCCCTCGTGGGATCTCTGGAACCTTTTGTGGGCCCTGTCGGAAGAGCGCAGGGCCAACGTCGGAGCCGACCTTGCGAAGAAGGAAGGAGGCATGCCAATCATGTGCGCAAGCGGTGCTGGTGACACCCTTGCGGCAGAACGCCCTAAGCAGCTCATTGCCATGACCATGGGGGGGCGCGATGATGGGCTAGAGGTGGGGATGAGGATGCAGGGATCGAGGGGTACGGGTAGGGGGATATAGGGAGAGGGATCGGAATTGGGTCTAGAGTCTCGGGGGGGGGGGGACGATGGGGGGGAGCTATCGATCTCGGGCTCCCGGGCTCCCTCGCTGGGCGGCGCAAGCAGGTATGCAGAACCCTTACAGGCAAGCCCGAGGGCTCTGCGGGCTCCCTCTGGGGGCCCCTGGAGGCTCCAGAGGCCGATCGGTCCCTAGAGGATCGGGGAGGGCTCTCCGCCACACTTCTTCTAGTTAGCAAAAATCAAAACATATTGTTTAGACGTGGTATTCTAAGGCAAATGACGTTTGGCTCCGTGGTCGCCTCCCGCATCTCGCTGAGCAGCGCCAACGCCCGCTGCCACTGCCCGCCCTTACCGCATGCTTTAACTGTCGCAACGTAACTGCCTTGTGTGGTCTTCGAGCGCAACCGAGATGCTTCGCGCAAGAAGTCCAGCGCTGCGCTCCAGTTCTTTGTCGCCCCACACTCATGTATGGCCGCGTCGAGAGAATAAGAACCATGCCTCGATCCCCGCTGGACGTCTGGTAGCATTCAGGGACATCTTGAACACCACAATGGCTCGAGGCAGAGGTGCTGGGTCAGAATGCCCCCAAGCGTACACGGATCCTTCAGCCCAGTCAGCGATGTCGCTGGGGGAAGCGGAGTGGAAGGAGGTTGAGGAAGAGGAAGAGGAGGAGCGCAACAACCATCTGTGTAGGTGCGACCTTACTAAAGGGGGGCAAGATGAGAAGGAGGAAGAGGAGGAGGCGGGGGAGGCGGAGGAGCAGCAACCCTCGCAGCAGGAGGACGAAGAGGAGGCGGCGGAGGCGAATGAAGAGGTGAATGAATTTCTCCGTCTTCTCCCGCTCCTCGTCGCGATTCGCCTTTTCCACTCCCCCGTCTCCTCCTCCTCCTTCCTCCTCACCGCTTCTCTTCCATGCTCCCCCGCTCTCCCACCTTCTGCCTCTCCCGTCTTGGAGGAGGAGGAGGAGAACGACGACGAAGAGAGGATAATGAGGTTGAGCCCTCGGCGTCGTCGTCGTAGTGGTCGTCGTCATCATGATCTCCGTCGTGGTCGTTGTTGTGGTGGCCGCCGTCGTTGTCGTGTCATCGTCTTCAGTCCCCTAGACCTTTCCTAGACGCGCTCTGACTGGGATCTCGAGGCGGACCCAGTTCAAGTGATGGAAGCCGCCAAGCAGACAAAAGATGAGATCGAGTCATAAATCACTCAGCGTCGCCGTCGTGTTTGTGGTGGTGGCGGTCGTGGTGGTGGTCGCCGTCGCCGTCGTCCTCTTGGAATGCCTTCAGGGGCATCCGGAGGTCCAGGGAACTCCCTGGAGCCCTCCCTGAAACAAAAACCAAAGCCGAAAACATCCAAAGAGCTTCGATCCTCCCTCCTCGTCCCCTCGTCGCCGCCGCCGTCGTCATCCTCATCGTCGCCGCGGTCAGTCCAGACATCCGCTCAAAACTTGAATGCATGGACGCCTCCCAGGATCCGTCGCTGCCAGCTTTCCGAGCCGCGTCTGGGTGCCGCGACGAAAATCTCCAGAAGCACCGAAGCGCGTCCAAGAGGGGACCCAGGCGGGGGACCCGAACGGAAATTTCGAGCCCTCGGCCCCAAGAAGCCTCCAGGAGGCCCCAAGGGGCCCCCAAGAAGCCCCAAGATGCTCCAAGAGCTCCACCAGAGGCCCAAAAGAGGCCCCCAAAACGGCCCCCAAAAAGGCCTCACGAGTGCTGCCAGGAGGCCCCCGAGAGACCTACCAGGAGCACCCCAGGGGGTCGGCGGTGCGGCGTAAGCCCAAGAATCTACGTCCGGAAGTGACGTGCTGAGCGACAGCGTTTTCTGCGGAGGCGAAAATGCAACGTTTCCAATGTATCCAATCTTTGTATCATTGCCACACGTTGTATTGTTTTGCATTATTATGTCTCCCCCTACCCCCCCTTGGAGTCAGTTCACTCCGCCGACCCAAGATGGATGCCCCCTTCTCGGGCTCTCGAAACCAATACAAAAACTATATGACATCTACGATTTGGGCCTCCGGGGCCTCTTGGGACTCCAAGAGGGCCTCAAGATGGCCACAAGACGGCCCAAGACGGCCCTAGATGGTCCCAAGAGGGCCCGTGACGCCCCCAAGACGGCTCAAGGGGGCCCCAAGAGGACTCGAAAGAGCGCCTCCAGGAGCCAAAATCATTGATTGTCTGATGGTTTTTGAAAGATTTTAGCGTTATCGCCTTTTTCGGCTTTCAGAGGACCATGACGGCCCAAGCAGCCTCCAAGAAGCCTTCAAGACGGCCAACGAGGCCCCCAAAGGGGCCCCAGGATTGCTCAAGAGGGCCCCGAGACGGCCAAAAGAGGCCCCCAAGACGGTCCAAGTGGCCTCCAAGACGGCCCAAGAGGACTCCAAGAGACGGCGAGAAGCCTCTCCGACATGCGGACCTGGTCGTCGTCGTCGTCCTCCGAGTTGGCCAGCGGGCGGCCAGTTCACCGAGCCGCGTCCAGTCGCGGCGACGAGAAAGTCCAGAAACGCCGAAACAGCTTGAAATTGACGCCGTCGTCGTCGTCGTCGTCGTCGTCGTCGTCGTCGTCGTCGTCGTCGTCGTCGTCGTGGTCGTCGTCGTCGCCGTCGCCGCCGCCGCCGCCGTCGCCGCCGCCGCCGCCGTCACCGTCGTCGTCGTCGTCGTCGTCGTCGTCGTCGTCGTCGTCGTCGTCGTCGTTGTCGTCGTCGTCGTCGGAGTCGTCCCGGGAGGTCAGCGGGCGCCTGCGGCGGATCCCTCCGCCAGCTGGACGCTGCTCTCGTCCAGGGGCGCCTCCGGCGGCGATGACGGCGATGACGGTACGCACGGCGACGGTGACTCGCGACGCACAATGCGACGATGCCGACGCATACGCTCATTGAGGAGGTGGAGGAGGAGGGGGAGGAGGAGGAGGAGGAGGAGGAGGAGGAGGAGGAGGAGGAGGAGGAGGAGGAGGAGGAGGAGGAAGGGGAGGGAGGAGGAGGAGGAGGAGGAGGAGGAGGAGGAGGAGGAGGAGGAGGAGGAGGAGGAGGAGGAGGAGGAGGAGGAGGAGGAGGAGGAGGAGGAGGACGCTGGATGACCACTGGAAGGGCTCATATATGGCCGCGGCGGGCGGCGGCCGCTTCAACGGGGGGGTCCCCCGAACCAGTTCGAGGGAGCGAGCCGAGCACCACAGAGCCCCTCGGTGAGTCCCGAGCGGACGGCACGTCGGCGGCTTGGCTGTGCGGCGACGGCGACGCTCACACCGACGAGGAGGACGCCTACCACGGCGATGCCGACGCACGACGACGTGGCAACGATGCCGACGATGAGGAGCCCCTTTTGTGAGTCCCAAGTGGACGTCACGTCCGCGGCTTGGCTGTGCGGCGATGGCGACGCTCGCGTCGACGAGGAGGACGCCCATGATGGGGCCCAGGGGTACACAAGTAAATACACACAACTCCCAGGATTCCCCATCGGCTCCTATATGTTTTCTGGGTGTTCGGCTCCCCCCCCCCAGCGTCCATACTTTCCCCCTATTGTCCTGGCAATCGACGGTACATTGTGTCTGTGTGTTTTCCCCTCCTGAGATGACGGCGCTCACGTCGACGAGGAGGACGTCTACCGCGGCGATGCCGACGCACACGACGATGTGGCAACGATACCGACGATGAGGAGCCCCTCTGTGAGTCCCAAGTGGACTTCGTGTCGGCGGCTTGGCTGTGCGGCGATGACGACGCTCACGTCGACGAGGAAGACGCCTACCACACGACTACGTGGCAACGATGCCGACGATGAGGGCGTACTCGACGACGGTGGCGACGGTGGCGCGAAGTACTCTGCTTCAAGCGTGACCTTTCCCCTCAGTGTTGGCCTTCGGGGTTTGCTGTTAGGGCCTGGGACCATCAAACACAGATCTGGGACGAAACGCTGTTCCTGCGGCAGGGGTTGGGAGAGGACGAGGTCGTCCTCTTAGTTGTGTTGTTTGGCGTTTCTGGGGGATCTCCGCGCAACGGCTGGACAGAGAAAGAACTGCCCCGAGAGAACTATCTGATGCAGCTTGTTCAGTGTGGTTCTGATGCGATTGCCTCGGCCTCAAATACGGATCGACACCTTGGTAGACGCCCAGATCTGCCACTCTCTGTTTGTCCCCGTCTGGCAAAATCCTGAACAAGATTATGCTCGTCGCTCCTCCGACTCCTCGGACAAACCCGCCGTTCACGCCCAACAGCCAGTTTGAGCGTCCCCACTCCGAAGGCCCATCTCCCACTCCGAGAGACCTATTGATGGGACCCCGGTTCCTGATGCACTGGCTGGCGATCAGGTCGGCCATGGACTTGTACCGTCGGGGGCACCACTGCACAACATCGCCCAAGAGGTACCCTAGGCCTCAATCCGACGTTGAAGGTGCGGCCGAGGCGCCGGCAACTGCGAAGCAGGAAGGTCGGAGCGTCATATCCGTGAGCGAGCGGTGGCCCGTCAGCTAGCCAACGGCTGCCTGGCTGTCGACTTGGATGCTCAGACATCCCCCGCGATAACTCGATTCACGATACCAGGGGTGCTGGAGAATCTCCAGCAGCACCTCGCCCTCCACCACGGGTTCCTGGTTCGGCGGGGAGGCACGGCGGCTCGAAGGGGAAATGCGGGAAGATACCACCGACGACAAGCATGGCTGCAGAACTCTGGAATTCCGGCCATCCACTCGGTCAAGCATGTCTTCGCATCTCGGCATCTCCGCCGCTCGAAACGAAATACGGTGCAAAACCCGTACTCCCAAATTTCTGTATGCCCGCGGGTGCGATGAGCACAGCCGCTGCCCCATCTTTCCAAAAGGCCAGCGAGGTGTCTTTCCAAGAAGGCGCAGCTGAGGGCTCATCGGAGAAGACCTGGGGATTCTAAGGCCTCTGGAGGCCTCTGGCGACCGCCAGGGAAACCCGGGGACCGGCGGAGGAGATCATCGTCGTAGTCGTCGTCGGCGTCGTCGTCATGACTGTCCCATCGTCGTTGCCGTCGTCGTGGTCTTCGTCGTGGCCGTTGTTGCGGTCGTCTTCGTGGCCGTCTTCGTGGCCGTCGTGGTCGTCGTCGAGGTAGCGTTGTGGCGCCTCGAGGAAGGCGAACTCCGACGTCGTCGCCGCCATCAACGCCACCGCGGTCGTGGTCTTCCCCACCGTCCCTCCTCCTCCTCCTCCTCCTCCTCCTCCTCCTCCTCCTCCTCCTCCCCTCCTGCGGGCACCTCGAGGAAGTTGAAGTCAAACGTTAGGCCCATCTCTTTCGCGGCCTGGCGGGGGGAAGGCTCCTCGCTGCTCCTCCCTCTCCGTGCCCCCAGGGGGGGACCCCCTCCTTGCCGTGGCTGGGCGGGGCTCGGAGAACCGGCCAAGATGGCTGCCAAGACCCAGACCTCCAGCGCCGTGTTGTCTGTGCCAATGCTCGTGAACCCGCGCCGACAAGTGGCAGGTCATGCCGCTACCACTCCAGGTTGGCACCTTGAGCAAACGCTGAATACTACAACGGCACACCATACGTCCTCAGCGTCGAGTGTGGATGGGGATTCGCCCACT